AGGTATACGCACATATACTTGCACGTAAATACATATTTTTTCACAGATGTTATAAAAAACAGTGCTCATTGTCATATAACAGAGCTGTTATATGATATTGCATATATTAGTGAATATACATGATATCCATCGATAACACGACACGGAATTTCATGCAATCTTCAGGTGCAAAATACTCACTTATCGTTAAAGTAAGTATTTTACACCTGAAGATTGCATGTTTGCATGAAATTCTGAGTTGTGCTATCTACGTGTGATATTATGCATATTAATTCAGTAATTAATCGATTTTATTATAATCCTATTTCTTCTTGCTATAAACATTATATTTAGGCCTGAAAATTGATTTCAAGCATGAAGCATGTTACCACTTGGCATGACTTCAGTGTCCACTTTTATATTTACACACACCCTATCCCTGATATTGAGCACTTTTACCAATAAATATCGCATACTATAAACTATATTTTTATCATATTATATATATATATATATATATATATATATATATATATGTGTGTGTGTGTGTGTGTGTGTGTGTGTGTGTGTGTGCGTACAACTGCGCCCCACACATAATAATCAAGGGGGTTCAAGCCTGGGGGAGTTAGGTGGCTAGATATAAGGGGTGATGTAGTCGCAGAAATTGTCTGACAGCCAGGAATAAGTTCTCCTGCTTGTATGGCATAGTACAATGTCCTGTTGCGAGAGATAGGTTTTTCCAGCAGCCACCCTCTTGACCCAGAATTAATACATACACACACGCACATATATATATATGTGTGTGTGTGTGTGTATATATATATATGTTTGTATATATATATATATATATATATATATATATATATATATGTGTGTGTGTGTGTGTGTGTGTGTGTGTGTGTGTGTGTGTGTGTGTGTGTATGCAGATGTGTGGAGATGTATGGAGAGTGCCTTAATCGCAAGGTCATTTACAGTAAATTTGCCCCCTGGCTCTCAAGGCACTTGATCTAGGCCACTGCGTCGACTCTGCAGATCTGTGGGAAGATGAATCGAGGCCTAACGTCGCGATCGCTAGTGATCACTCTAAACAGCTTCGTAATCACCATCAAACTCATCCAACTCTTTCCGAATCCTCCGCACTGTCGTCAGGTTTACACCCAAACACTCTGAAATGTTCGTATTGGAGTTTCCGGCCCAAATACCAAACAGTACAACATGCCGTATTCAAATTTCTTGTAGAGTGAATTGCGTTATGTTGCTTTTTTTCCCTCACAGACTGTGCCCAACTGACCCTACTATACTGCGCAGTCGACAAAAACAACGCGCACGCGGGAAATTAAAAATATAAAATGTCGAGAATGTACCTACTGCACCCTACACACACACACACACACACACACACATATATATATATATATATATATATATATATATAAGCCTTTACACACGAAAGTCGGCGACATTGTCAAGTGGGTAATATAGTCTCTACAATTCAAATCAGTTTAAACTCGAGAAAAGTTAATAGCATTCTTTCCTGTAAGTTTCAAATACATGATTTTAATGGTCGGAGATAAAGCTCATTTTACGTGAACCCAACAGGAGAGAAAGAATGAAGAAAGAAATTAGGATTTCCATCGTTCTTCCTAACAGATTACAGGTGAAAACATCTGTCTGAATCGCTAATTGAAACGTGCTTCGGCATAACGTCAACCACTTCTGGTTCTGCTCGTTTTATTAAGCGTCCAAACAAATCTTCCCATTGAAGTCTCTTCGTTCTTTACAAAGTGAATTTCAATGCAAAGGACAGGGCATTTTTAAAACGAAGAGTTAACCTATCAAGGATAATCCACAGCCAATCATTTTAAGTTAATAGCTGTTTCCTCCTGTTGTTCGCTGACCTACGGTGGACGATTCATTAGTACTTTAGCCAAGGTTTAGATCTTTTAAAAATCAAATTATTCTTCAAAAGTGGCGTCGAATTCACTGACAAGAAATTGTTTCGTGGACTGACAAGTGTTGCTTGTGAACTTGAAAATCGCCCGAGAAGACACTCGGCGTTATTAGAAACCTCAATAGGAAACGTAATACTTTAGTTAAAACTCGATTGGATAAAATGGAAGATTGCTATGCGAATAATGGCGCTCGTGCAAGGCAAATAATAGATGAAATGATAGCCTTGAGCCGGGATCAACGCAGAACGTTCGTTCCAGTAGGCAGGAAAGTTTCAACGTTCTCTGATGTAAACAATGAGCGAACTCAGTTAATTTAACCAGGGATTTGGGGAGCGAGGTCGACTAATTTCGAGTTTGAACGCCAAGCTTTTTACCATCAACCTCATTTCCGAAGCAGATATTCATTAAGACTGAACGAAGAAGGGGAATGGATTGTTAGAATGCGGAATATTTCCTAAAGGGCAGGTGGTGGGAGTATTCATAGAAGAACATTATTTCTTTCTCTAATCTTATTTGTAGGATGTTTAGTTTAATCTCAAAACTTAGACAGGACGTTTAGAACCTTTGGCGATGATTTAACTCCTCTCATTAAAGACCATTGCGTTTGTTCTCTTGAAAAATCTAAAATAACAAATATTTACGTTAAAACTCTTCATAAAAGATTTTGCTAACAGTAAAGATGGATCAATTAGCAAGCAATATTAGGTGTATCTTAAAGGTTAAAACATAGAATTTCGATTATGGAGTTCTGGTGTAATATTTTTCGTCATGGTTGTTTAATTTTCATTGCTGGGTATTCCTCGCAGACAAAATTAAGAAAATTAAAAAAAAAATGTTCTTATTTTACGCTTACATTTTCTTTGAGATTTAGAGCATACTATATTAAGTTACTATTGCTGGACAGTTATGTAATATCAATCTCCCTATATAGCAGTGATGTTGGGAAAACGCCACAGCTGAAGAGAAAACTAGAGGCAACAGAAACGTTGGTTATAGACAGTGCTTCCTCTGTGTTCTCTGTTATGTTGGAAGGAACACTGGGACATACTCCGGGTCTAGTAGATATTTATCCATTTTTTTTTTTTTTTTTTCAAATTATTCAAACAAAGTCATAAACGAAAATTTCAAAAATTATTCAATAGCGTCCAGTTCTTATAAACGCAAAATTTCAAAGAAAAAAGGTATCAAACAGGACAGACAGAATTCGAATCCCAACCTACTGCAGAAAAATCCAGTTCGTTAAAGATATTCACCAAGAGTGTATCACAAAATTTCCTGACTGAAATGCTGGAAGCTACCCTTGGGCTTTCCAAATATATGGATCCATCTCTTCTCACAAATAAATTGCTATGGAGGAGATTTGATATGGTACAGGACCATCAGCCAGTAAGACATTAAGATAAGCTTTATTTAAGCCAGCCTTGGTTGGTAACCTTAAGATAAGCTATCAAATGAACAGAAAAAACGAACCCAGAGGGTTGAGATTAATTGATTGAGATAAGCTATCAAATGAACCCAGAGTAAGATTCTTAGCCAGTAAGCACCAAAGTCAACCATCGCATTGAAAACATTGAGATAAGCTTATCAAATGAACATTGAATAAGCATCAAATGAACCCAGTAAGATTCTTAAACCAAAGTCAACCATCGCCAGTAAGCACCAAAGTCAACCATCGCATTGAAAAAACATTAAGATAAGCTATCAAATGAACCCAGAGTAAGATTCTTAGCCAGTAAGCATCCAAAAACATTGAGTCAACCATCGCATTGAAAACATTAAGATAAGCTATCAAATGAACCCAGAGTAAGATTCTTAGCCAGTAAGCACCAAAGTCAACCATCGCATTGAAAACATTAAGATAAGCTATCAAATGAACCCAGAGTAAGATTCTTAGCCAGTAAGCACCAAAGTCAACCATCGCATTGAAAACATTAAGATAAGCTATCAAATGAACCCAGAGTAAGATTCTTAGCCAGTAAGCACCAAAGTCAACCATCGCATTGAAAACATTGAGATAAGCTATCAAATGAACCCAGAGTAAGATTCTTAGCCAGTAAGCACCAAAAGTCAACCATCGCATTGAAAACATTGAGATAAGCTATCAAATGAACCCAGAGTAAGATTCTAGCCAAAGTCAACCATCGCATTACCAAACATTAGATATAAGCCAAAACACCAAAGTCAACCATCGCATTGAAAACATTAAGATAAATGCTATCAAATGAACCCAAAGTAAGATTCTTGGATAAACTATCCAGAGTAATCACCAAAGTCAACCATCGCATTGAAAAAAATTGAGATAAGCTATCAAATGAACCCAGAGTAAGATTCTTAGCCAGTAATCACCAAAAACGATTGTCAACCATCGCATTGAAAACATTAAGATAAACTATCAAATGAACCCAGGTAAGATTCTTAGCCAGTAAGCACCAAAGTCAACCATCGCATTGAAAACATTAAGATAAGCTATCAAATGAACCCAGAGTAAAGATTCTTAGCCAGTAATCACCAAAGTCAACCATCGCATTGAAAACATTAAGATAAGCTATCAAATGAACCCAGAGTAAGATTCTAGCCAGTAAGCACCAAAGTCAACCATCGCATTGAAAACATTGAGATAAGCTATCAAATGAACCCAGAGTAAGATTCTTAGCCAGTAAGCACCAAAGTCAACCATCGCATTGAAAACATTAAGATAAGCTATCAAATGAACCCAGAGTAAGATTCTTAGCCAGTAAGCACCAAAGTCAACCATCGCATTGAAAACATTGAGATAAGCTATCAAATGAACCCAGAAAACATTGAGATTCTTAAATGAACTGCCCAGTAAGCACCAAAGTCAACCATCGCATTGAAAACATTGAGATAAGCTATCAAATGAACCCAGAGTAAGATTCTTAGCCAGTAAGCACCAAAGTCAACCATCGCATTGAAAACATTGAGATAAGCTATCAAATGAACCCAGAGTAAGATTCTTAGCCAGTAAGCACCAAAGTCAACCATCGCATTGAAAACATTGAATAACATCAAATGAACCCAGATAAGATATCAAATGAACCATCGCATTGC